TTGGCTTTCAAAGGGTGCTTTATTGCAAGGTACGTGTCAGCTGCAATGACAGTGATGATACTGATGTTCATTAAGTGGTTTATGAAATAGCCACCTTCCAGAACCAGGTACCATGTACCTACCTTCAGCTGACGGAACTGGGATCAAGTTTTAAAAGGCAAAGAGCAGCAAGCAGTCAGCCATAGGCATGTTGACCATGTGTACTCTTGTTTCTGTCCATTTGCTGAGTTGCAGCAGAACACCCACAGCACCATTCAGCAAAATGAAGCAAATATGGGATGTAAACACACAGCTGGACAAGTGGAAAGCTTTCACAGGCTGTGGTACTGCAGCTGCTGAAGTTCATTTTGGGAGTATTAAGAGGCACGGTTCCTAGAAAAGCAGATTAAACCTTTAAGAAGCTAGACTCTTGACTGAATCAGTGGTTAATTTAGATCAGGTTTTTACCAACAGTGACTGTGAAAATGACTACAGAGCAGAGCTGGCTGAAGGGTACTCAGGAGGGGACATGAGCCTGATCACTTGTGGAGGAGAGGAAAGCATTGGGTCCCATGTGGGGAAGGCTGCATGTGGAGGACAGCAGGGGATAATGCTTGGGCCTGAGCAAGCAAACCATAGGACAGTGTTGCAGCATCTCTGTGCATCTGCAGCTCTTGGCTAGCTTTGAAAATAATGCTACTGAAGGAATCATGCCAGGAGACCTCTTCAGAGGTGAGAGAATGCGCTACAGCCAATACCTGCGGCAGTTTGGTGATTTGGACAAGGAAAAAGTGAAGAGGGCAGAAAATACAAGAATCAGTCATAACAGACAACAGGAAGATCTAGCAAAGGCTCTCTCAGTCTAATGTGGCCAGTATCAAAATAAGACTTTGAAAATACACCGGTTCCAGCCCTCTCAGTTTCTCCACCACTGTTTTGATGTTCCACCACAGCTGGGGAAAGGCAGTGCCTTGCAGCGCTCAAATAACCAGGTCTGCAAATAGCTAGGAGGAATTACCTGCTCACTCATTGCCCTTGGAGAGTGTGAATGCTCCTCCTCACCAGCTGTGGTGTGATGTTTGGGCACCATGAACCTTCCTAGCAGTGCTCCTGGTACATGACCAGTGAGGTGTCCTGCAATGTCCATTTGCTGGTGGCTGTGAGAGCAGCTATGCTGGTTGAGGAAGCACCCCATCCCTCCTTAATGCATTTCCCTAGGGTTGAGCTTCCTCTGCCACCAGTGGCACGGTTCATGCCACCCCCTTTTGACTGAGGAGCCTGCAGTAGTGAGGTAAAACACTCATTTGCCATGCAGCCCTGCAGTGGTTCCTCTGGCAATGGAACAGCTTTGGGTTTCCAGTGCCTAATGCCTCACTCGGTAATGCCCACGGGACCTTCACTGGCCAACAGGTTGTGCTCATTGCTTGGAGGGGACTCATTGGCCTGAAGCAGTCTGAGGTCTTCTCTCTGCCTTCTAGACTAATGTTCCTGCTGGAGCTGGCATAGGGACTGCCCCCTGCTGTCACCCTGCTGAGCTCCCAGTACCATTCACAGAGCTGCTGGAGAGGTGAGCCTACTTCGTAGGCTTTTCCTTGTACGCTTTTTTTTTGTTTGTTTGCTTTTTGTTTGTGTGTACTTCGCCCCCCTTCCCCCTCTCCCACAGCCTAAATTTTTACTGCAGCGTCAATGCCCTCATTTAAAGTCTAAGCCTTTGTCATCATCTTTTCCTTTTAAGGGACAGAGAGATTCTATCTTGCTGGAACATCAGCAGAATGCAGTGGTCCAGCTCTGCTTGTTGGAGCTCTGATGGACTGTGGCTGCTGCCTCCTACTGTTGTGAGCCAGGCTTCTGTGCAAGGAAATCAGAAAGATGTGTGGATAGCAGTGTTACCTATTCCAGTGCTGTGTGGATAGCAGTGTTACCTATTCCAGTGCTGTGTGATGGGCGCTAGTTTGTTGCGGGCCAGGTTCCATGGCTTGTTGTGGCAAAGGTGCTGTTTCACTTACTGGGAGCGTTCATGGAGCTGAGGTTTTGTTCTGACTGAAGACAGGGGTCGGAAACCCACCATTAACATAATTCTAACTTGACATGTAAAGCAGATGCTAATGTTTGTCCCAGGCAGTATCTGCGTCTTCAGGTAATCAGAAAGATCCTTGCTCATCTTAGGGTTGCACTGGAAGTAGCCTGTTGTAAGGCAGCTTTTATATCATGTTAGCTAAGTCTCTTTTCACAATCTCTGGTATAAGTTCAGCGTTAATAATAGAGGACTCTGAGGTATAATGGTGGTGAATAAATATTTATTTATAGATATAATACTATGAAATAGCTTCATTATCACTTGCAAAAAAAATGCTTCTTTTTCTGTTTTCCTGACAGTCAGTGCAAACAACAAAAACTGTTCCTTCATGATGACTGGGATTGTGAAGTCAACAATTTCTATTTTACAATGAGGAAAAGAAACACCTGATTTTTTTTTTTTTATTTAGAACATGAACTGTGGAGGCCTCAGTTTGCTTCCTACAAGAGAAAACCCCTCACTTCATACAGCTCTGTATGCAGCAAGCTTGGCTATGTGTAGGAATGCCAGCTATAAATGCTTTAGCACATTTGTACTGGTTTTGGCATCAACAGGAGTAAGCGGGCAGGTGTGTGGTGCTTAGCTGCGGGCTGGGGTGCAGCCATGGAAGCTGTTTAGTTTCTTTAATAGAGCGCCTTGTCTGTGATCCTTCCTGGATTTGAAAACTCTGTGCTTGGGGGAGAAATTGCTCTGAAATTCTTTGGTTATAAAGCAGTAGCAAATGGGATCTCCACAGCAGCTTTTATTTGCCATCCTGCGAGGCCTATCCATGAGGCCACAGGACCAAAAGCGCTGCTGTTTTGTATTTCAGAGTAGGCAACTTCATTGGAGCTCACTGGAAATTGGGCAAGGTGCCCCATGGCAACAGGCAGAAAGCATGAACATGGCAGGGTCTGGAGAACAAGTATGTAGTTTGCTTTCTGGGTTAACAGTAGGGTAACAGGCTGATATGGCTCAGCCTTCATCTCTCTTCGAAGTAATTAACATTTTCATAATAATCTGTTTGGAACAGGCACTCATTATAACCAATGAGATGCAGAAGCCGGACTGGGATCCTACAGGAAAGACTGTTTTTGAAGGCCCTCTGCGCTATTTCTGAATACAGAAGATGTCTTCCTTGCTGAACACCTCTTGCCTGGACACGTAAGTGATGCCTGTCATGGGCATTGACAGCACACCATAAAGGAGAATGGGCTAACAGGAACCCTAAGCCCCTTTCTCTCTAAGGATAGTCAATAGCAGTGTATTTGCTGACAGCTACAAGGGTGACAACACTCACGCATCTCCTTAAGCACCAGATGATTCTTCAGTTCAGGCACAATTTGTGTCTGGTTTCTTTTGCTCTCTTTGAAAAGAGACTTTAAAAGGCAGAATGAGGGCCAAGCAGTGTGTGATGTGATTAAGTTGGTCACATGCGCTCCGCTTGCAGTGAAAGACCATCAATGTCAGAGCATTAAATAATACATCAAAGAAAATTGGTACATAAATGATCAACTGACTGACCTGAATGGTTTCATCCATTTTTATGCTGAGTTTCCATCACACAGGGACCTGTGCCAAGGTATTGGCACAAAGAAGTTAGATCTAATCTTTGGATGAGGAGAGTTTTCTGTGATGGGAGTAGTTGTTTCATATGTTGTTTGGCTGGTGTCTAGACAGTGGTTTCAGCATGTGGTCTGCAGACACTTGAAGATGACAGGACACTTTTAGGGAAACTATTTGTAAGTTGTCACCAAGAAAGTTAGTTGTCTGTAGGTTTAAATGAGCAGAATATGGATTTGCATTCCCTGGAGGAAGGTTTAGGTATTTACAAGACAGAAGACGCTCAGAGTCAAGGGCCATGAAGCCAAAGGAGATACAGCTATCACATGCATTTCAACAACTCTATAATGTTTCCCATGCTGACTCTATGGGGCACTTCCTTCTAGTGGGCCAAGATTTCCATTTGTGGTTTAACTGTTTTGAGCTGCTCTGTTGTCACTTCCCTGTGGGGTGGGAGGGTACGCAGTGCATAGTCAGCAAGTATTATAGAGGAGATTTGTAGTTGGAAAGCCAGACATTTGTATGTGTGGTCTGGGACCCAGCTAGGAAAGCTTAAGGTTCTCTGTATAATCATAGAATGGTTTGGGTTGGAAGGGATCTTTAAGATCATCTATTTCCAACCTTCCTGCCATGAGCAGGGACACCTTCAGGGTTAAATGTCTCAAAATGAAGTGTGGGAAAGCTGTTGGACCCCTGCTGTCCGCTCTCCAAGCAGCTGAAAGAGAAAAAGCACGAAATCCAAAGCAATGCTTCATCACACATGGCAGTGCCAAGAAGCCCTCAGCTGTGGGTCTGAGCTATCTGTGCAGAAGGGCCTTGCACACCTCACTCTCATCAAACCTCCCCTGAAAACTGTGTATGGATTGTAAGGCAGGGATCATGGCTGCATCTGCTTCATGTTGCTCACTGCTGTTTTCTGAGCATCGACATTCATGCAGCATGAGGCTGTGGCAACTTGAGCAGATGCGATCCCTTCTCACCAGTCAGGATACCTACTGAGGAGTTGATCCCACTGAAGTACAGCAAACCTGTCACCAGGACTTACAGCAGTTGCTTGGGTGAGATCACTTCACAGATTTATATCTGATAGGCACAACGCAAAAGTTCTGTTCTGGAGTCTACAGTGCTTTGTGGGGCTCTGTTTTTCCATGCAGTAATGGCTTTATTTATACCCACAATGATTTTAGTCTCACAAACGCCAGGGTGTTTGCCACAAGCCGATACAAGTGTTAAAGGGCAGGAATGGGGCAATAGTCTCAGGCCACTGTCTTTACTCCATACACAGCAATAGCTGTGTCCTGGTGATAGCTGCAAGCTTTGAAATCATACAGGCTGTCAGGGTTTGGTGTGAGCAGCACAGATGTATTAGGTTCAGCATTGTAGTACATGTTTTTTTTTTTTTCTTGGTTTTAAGTGACCATCTGTATAACAGTACCAGAAGTGGATTTGTGTATTGCTGTATGGGTCCTGTTTCCTATGTTTAATTGCATGTTATGTACAAATAAGTGCATGGTGGAAACAGTGGCCTTGTCATCTATTCTCCATCCCATATGCTCTCCCTCTTGAAGCTGCAATACAGTGGTCTAAGACTATGGTCAAGGCTGGAGTCAAGTCACTGAGGACAGAAGGACAAAATTCAAGTTAATATCAGACCCCTTGGAAGGGATTGCCCCTTTTTGCAGCTATGCCTGTAGCTACAATGATTGCAAATACTGTAGATGGTCCTATTCCCTCTGCCTCAAAACTTCAGCAGCCCTGTGGCTCTCAATACCTGTAGTGTGCTACACCTTGTTTATGTCATGACTTGATCTGTGGGTGACTGGGATTCTTGGCTTTGGTTCACCTTGCACCTCATCGATAGGCAAGTGGGGAACAGAGAAGGAAATTCTTGGAATTCCTTAGCTGCAAAGTAATAACAAAATGCATCCAAACAGCAGTTAGAGTTTGCTAAGCATGCACAGATGTGAACACAGGCACTAACTTCTGAGAGCAGAGAACAAGCTCCAGCGACATCCACTGCAAACCGCGAGAGCAGGGCAATGTAGAAGGGTGCAAAACATACAGTGAACACGCACAGGTTCACAGAAATAATGCGGATTGCTTTCTGGATTAATTTTGTCTCATGAGGACTCGTGACCATCTTCTTCTTGAGACATCTGATGACTTGTACTGAACAAAAAGTCACAATCACTAAGGGAATAAAATAGCCAAAGATGACGGACACTAACAATGTATAACTAGGTTGAGTAGATTGTTTCCGAAAGCAGAATTTTTCCTTTTTGTTATGAAATTGTGGATGCAAGTAGGAATAAATCATTAGTATTATCCAAAGGGCCCCACAGATGGATGCTGATTTCAGTGGGGATCGAAGAATCTTTGCTTTTAGAGGGAACTTGATTGCAATGTATCGATCGATCGCTATCAAGGTGATGATCAGGATGCTCATAGGCATGTTTGTAAAGTAGATCGTTTGTATGGTGAAACACAGGTTGTCTATGGGATGCTCATATGTGGTAAAATATATCAAGAAAGGCAGGGCAAACAGCAGGAAACTGTCTGCGACTATGAGGTTGATCATGTACACCCTGGTCTCGGTCCACCTCTTGAGTTTGCAGCAGAAGACCCAGAAGGCAGTCGCGTTCAGTGGGATCCCCAAAGAGAGCACTGGGATGTAGACTGTAAACTGAAACAGTGTAATGCCATTCCGCACGTCGTAGTCTTTGGTGCAGTTCTCCATGTTGGGTTGTCCCTGCAAGACAAGGGGGCAGGCATGAGACCAAGCTTGGGGACAGGTTGTCTGTGCTGGGGCCTGCTGCAGTGCCCCACTCTCATGGCTCTGGAGCTCCTGCCCTTGCACTGCAGATCAGCTCATCAGCACTGAACACAGGATTCGAGGTGCGGCCTCACCAGTGCCCAGTACAGGGGGATGGTCACTGCCCTGACCCTGCTGCCACACTGTTGCTGATACAGGCCAGGATGCTGTTGGCCTACTTGGCTGCCTGGGCACGAGCTGGCTTATGTCATGCTGCCATGAACCCACTCTCTCTGAGGATGCTGGGGAGGAATTGCTCAGCATTAAGTACCATCAACCCTAGCAGATCTAGTCCGAGGTCTCCAAAGAGAGAAGGGAATGTGAGCACAAGTCTGATCTCAACCTTTAAAGACAGGAAGCCAAACTGTTGCTAAAGCAGAAAACACAGAACCAAGAACTTAGACTATCTCCTGGTATTCCTTTAAATATTCAAGGTGTCTTCTACCAGCAAGGAGGCTGTGAAGGATGAATCGGACTTAATTTGCAGTTCATAAAGGAAGTGTTTACATCAAGGCAGGAAAAGAAAACACCCAGATTCCTACAATCTCTTACAAATACATTGCCTTATAAGTCAGCATCTTGTAAGCATCCACATTTAAACTGTAGTGAAAATGCCCAGTTGCATGAACTGACTGAACTGGTTTTAGTGTCAGAGACTTAGAGATGGAGCTGGCAACCACAGAGGAAAGCACAGCATCTGCCCTAGCACCAGAACTGGTATGTCACTACTGAACCACAGGGATGCAGTCATTTGTAGGGTGTAATTTACAGAGGAACTAATATAGAGCCGGCATCCTGGATCTCTTGAGCTTTCGGCCTCACACGTCCTGGGTTGCATTGTACCACCTACCTTGCAGCCGTTCCCTGCTAGCTTACTGTGGTCACCCCACAGTGAAAAAGCCACTCTCTGCATGCATAGCACTGTCCTGAGGGAGCAGCTGAGGCGGCTGGGGATGGGCATCCCAGCCCCATCAAACCCCCTATGTAAGCACAGAGCTGGCGGTGGTTCCCAGTGTTGTGTGCTACAGTGTGCCTGGAGCTGGGTATCTCCTTGCGCACAGAAGAGGAACTGGTGCGAAACTAAAGTGAGGATGAAGACGCCCCCTGAAGACACAGGTGGCTGGAAAACAGGAGGATACCAAAGCATCTCTGTGCGGGTGAGGATTGACAATGTTTTGGGTTGGAAGGGACCTTAAAGCTCATCCAGTTCCAACTCCCTCCCGCGGGCAGGGACACCTTCCACTAGAGCAGGTTGCTCCAAGCCCCTGTGTCCAGCCTGGCCTTGAGCACTGCTGGGGATGGGGCAGCCACAGCTTCTCTGGGTACCCTGTGCCAGCGCCTCAGCAACCTCATAACAGGGAAGAGCTTCTTCCTTACATCTAACCTTAATCTCCCCTCTGTCAGTTTAAAGCCATTTCCCTTGTCCTGTCCCTACAGGCCCTTGTCATAAGTCCCTCTCCAGACTTCTTGTAGGTATGGGAAAGCTGCTCTAAGGTCTTCCTGCAGTCTTTTCTTCTCCAGGCTGAGTCTCTCAGCCTCTCTTCATGGGAGAGGTTTGTTACAATAATCTTGGGTCTCATGCATATATGTTAACAAGCAGGCTAGCACTTTAGTTAAGAGGTGAGAAAGCATATTCTGTTCTGAGCAGAGCACGCTTTGGTGTGGGAAGAATGAAAAGCCATTACCTGCTGCCTGTGGGGCCGTCAGGGTGGTTTGATCCTCCTTAAGGTTGCAGTGTAGACGCAGGCGGTGTGACAGGGGAGAGGACGTGTCAGGTCCGCGGGTACCAGAGCAGTATGCTACTCCATGCAGGGCACAGCTGCCCCAGAGCCTGCTGTCGGCAGCTGAAACACAGCAATGAGCTCTTGTTCCCCCAAAGTGCTTCATTTATCACTTAGCTTTTGGGACAGTCGAGTCTCTGGTGCCCTCTGTCGTTCTGCTCGCATCAGCTGGATGCTTCACCATCATCCTTACTCACCCAGACTGTGCTCCCCCCCTCGCCTTACACAAACCCCAGCAATTAAAATTTAATGTTTTCAGTCTTGGGAAAACAAATAATTTCTGAAATACAACCCATAATGGCTGCAAATTGTCCTTCTGGCAGCAAAAGGTCCCGCAGGGAGCACGGGAGGGCTGGGCAGCCTCCAGTGCGGTTGCAAAGTGTGTGCGGTGGGGGGGCCGACAGCCTTTCTGAGGGGACAGGGGACACGTCAGTGCTTGTGCACCCCGTGATAGTGAGCCCAGGGTGAGAGGTCCCAGCGTGCTTCTCTTCAGTGTCTTTACAAGAAGGGTGGCAGACGTTATGGGCTGGCTTACCCTCTGCAAAGCGACCAAGTGTCTAACACTGCTCATCAGCACCGCTGCAAAGCCCAAGCTGGAAATGACAGTCACTGGTCAGAGATGCTGGTGAGGCAGTGAGCACGCTGTCAGGAACTCTTTTAAGTGCATTCCCCAGTGGGACTTTACAGGCATTTTGGTGGGTTTGCTGTCTGTTGGCTGTAGCAGTTGCAGTCCTATCTATGGGAGCCAGGTTCTAGCTTCCTCGGGATTTGTCCCACTGATTTGTGTCTCCTGAACTCACATTTCCAAAGGTGACAAGAGCAGATTGAGCAGCAGCAGCTGCAGGTCACATGCATGGGTGGCAAAGGTCTAGACAGAGTTAAAAGGGCTTCCTTGGGGGGGGGGGGGGGTGAGTAGCAGACCCTTATGGCTCAGCCCTGATATCTCCTGGACTTCGTGCTTTTATGGGACCAAATAAGTCTTGCTTTCATCCTTCACATCTATCTGATGCATTGACTTGAAGAGGAAGGGCAGTTAGCAGAGTCTAGGGTGTTTTGTAGGGCCATGTCCTTAGTAAGATGCTGTTACTGCCTGAAACCTCCCCCTTCCCCACCAAAGCAATACGAAATAAATAAACTGGATTAATTTAATAATGCAAACAGCCTGAAATACACAGTGAGGTAAAACATGATATATTCTTTTTGTATGTATTGACAATAAGGATCAATAGACTTTAGATATAAAAAAAAAAACAAACCAGGGAGACATACATGGTTCACTTGTATTCTCATAAGAGCAACTGGAGGGTGGAATGGAGACTTGTTAATGACCAGAGATTACATACACACTTTCACACAGCTTTTTGAAATTAATAGAAGCATAGGATGTTACTTACAATTTATTTAGTAATGTTAAACCTAACAAAGACCTTGTGCCATCCCTGGAGGCATTCCAGGCCAGTCTGGATGTGGTTCTGGACAACCTGATCTAGTTGAAGGTGTCCCTGCTCATTGCAACAGGGTGGAACTAGATGAGCTTTGAGGGTCCCTTCCAGCACAAACTGTTCTATGGTTCTATGATCTCTTCAGAGAGAAAGGGCAACAGTTATCCCAATAACACTGAGGATGTGTCTTCTCTTGATGTTGCAGAGACACTGGGTTTCATTGTTTTGGGTTTGCTGTTTTTCATCCCTCTTGCCTCCCTCCTTCCACTCCTTTCTTTCCTTTAGCAAGTGTGTGTCTGCAAGGGGTGGATTTGATCTGTTTTATCACTGCTGGTTTTGGGTGGTAGAAGGGCTTCATGGAACTCCTTGGTCACAAAGTAGTAGCAGACACTATCCAGGCAGCAGTTAGATGTGGCAATACACCTTGTCAGGGAGGAGATGTTCTTCATAACCTGGAGCATGAAACAGGTAGCTCCAATGCTATCCATTACGAACGTGGCAAGTAACCCAAAGAAGGCTGGGAGAAAACATACTAGAAACACAATCAGGTTTGCATAAATAATGTGAACAGCTTTCTGGATTGATTTCTCCTCTGGTGAACTGGTGTTCAGGCCTCTCTTGAGGCTCCTGATCACTTCTGTGGAGCAAAAAGTCAAGATTGCCAATGGAAGAATAAAAACGAAGAAGATGGAAAGCAGGCTCAGAGCAGCAGGCACGGTGGTATCCTTCTGGAAGCAGAGGGTGGATTGGCTCTGCCAGATCTGTGCAGTGGCACCGACTACCACAGAGACCCACAGAAGACCGCAGAGAAGGGCTGCCTTTGATGGAGACCTGAAGGTCCTGGCTTTCAAGGGGTGTTTTATGGCAATGTATCGGTCAATGGAGACAAATGTAATTACGTAGATACTCACCAACATGTTGATGAAATATGTTGTCTCTATAAACTGGCAGAGTTCGTCTCGGGTTGACTTATTCCAGAGCAAGTAAGCCATGAAAGGCAAGGTGCAGATGACAAAGCAGTCTGCAAAGACTAAGTTGATTACATACACCCTTGTTTGTGTCCACTTCTTTATCTTGCAGAAGAACACCCAGAGGGCAAGGGCATTAAACAGAGCTCCAAACAAGAAAATGACGCTATACAGAGCAAGTTCAGTGAGGCGGACATGGTGATAAAGTTCTAGACTTGTGATGCTGCAGTTGCTGGACACATTCATTGTCCTGTTGTGCGGAAGTTGTGTGATGTTCTGAGACCTGAAACAGCAAAAGACATGGTAACACTTTCCTCCTCCCCCTTAACAGATGCATATCCTATGAAAAAAAGGGTGTTTAAGTAAACATGCATTTTGCCTATCACAAATGTGAATTTGCGTCTACAAAGCTGGCCTTCTCAGTCAGCCTCTAATTGGGATGCATCCTTTGTCAAGCTTTGTTTATGTTTCCTCAGTTTAGGAGTAAATATCTCCAAGTACACTTCCAATAGGACATGGCAGACAGTCTTTATTAAATAGTGGTATCTTGAATGGAGGGGTACAATAGCAGTGAGAAGAAACCCCATAGATAGAGAGGGCATCCTGTGAGAATGGGATTCCTTAAGCCAGGCTGTGCAAATGAGGCAAGATTACCCTTAGCCTGGTTATGAACTAGGCAGGGATTGTAGCAACCAAACCCAAAGCCAGCAAAACCCAAGAGCAAAAGCTCTTGTACCAGGTCTCCTGGCTTGGGAGACAGAAGAGTGGTGTGAAGGCCTGCAAGAGCATAGCAGATGTCACTTGGGGGATGTGCTCCTGCTCTGGCTCTAACTGGGCAGGTTTCTGAGCCTTTGGGCTGCCTCGCAAACCTGGAGCTCCTGCTCAAAGCTGAGGAAGAGAGATGAATCTGAGTTCCTGCACCCCAAAGGCATGCTTGAAACCCTAAGTGGATGAGTGAGGCATGGAGCTGTCCACTCCTTGGGAGGGCAACGGGGGGTGCAAGAATTAACCTGATTTTAAGCCCATGCATTCCAGGAGAGAGTTCAGTTCTGTGGATGTAAAGTAGACAGATACACCTGAAAGAGGGAGCACCAGTGCAGAACAAGGAACTTGCCTTTAAGGGCTGCATGAGATGGCTCCTGCTCAAGGCAGGAATCTGGCCACCCTGGGAAGTCCATGAGATTTAAGTAGTAGCTACTGAGTCTGTGTAACACTGGCTGCAGGATGTTCTGCAAGAAAATTGGTTATGTGAAAAGTGTGAGCTCATGGGCTGATAAAAATCAGCTTTTATCAGACCCCATCCTGTGCACAGTGGCTGTTTGTGGCCTGCAGAAGGAAGAATTCTCTGAACCGGTGATTCTGTGTATGCGTCACTGAATTTCTGCTTGCATCTAAATGCACTTTGGAAAGAATTTAACCTTTAAATTTGAAATGTGTTTTTTGCCATTCTAACAGGAGACTGAAGTAGTGGAACCCTACAGCTTTCAGGGATTTAGGAAGGAACACCATGACTGGACAGGCCTGTTTAAGCAGTTATTTGCCTCTGCAAGCAACTCAAACCTCCTTGTGGTCAGTTGGTGAGAGCACTGCCTGCAAAATCAGACTTCAGTGACTGACAAACACACAAATAACTCAATTTATGGGGGATATATGAGTGTCTTGGGCACTCACAGGCACTAACGTGACTCCTGCATAAAACTCTCTCCATTTCTTATGCGCTCAGCTCTGGGATTCCCAATAGAGGCTTGCTGCTCGCTGCTGTACCCTGGAAGGAAGCTGTTGGCTGTCACCTGAGGAAAAGCTCTCTGAATTACAGTAAGTAGCAGTAGGGAGATACCTTACATTGAGGGCTGAAGCTGCCACATTGTTATGCTCGTTAACTGCATGAGGCAGATGTCTTTGCTGACATGGCTGATGCTCTGGCTGCTTTCATCAGCCCTGGTCTGCAATGCCAGAACAGCCTCGGTGCTCAAGTACAAGACAGGCAAACCATGCTGGTGTGCTCTGCTGCATGAAAGGGCTGTGGCTGACACCCTCAGAGTTGGTGATATGCCCCAAATGCAGTTCCCAGCATCAGGACTCAGAAGCGCTTCAAGCAGATCAGAGACTGGTGGGAGGAGGGAGGAAATGAAGAGAGTTTTAAAGTCAGCTGTGTAGCACAAATGGGGTATGGTTGAGCACAAAATACCTTTACAAAGATGCAGTTTGATAAGCTAACATATCCTGTGCTGCTGAAAATGTTTACAGTGGGGTAGATCAGGTGGCTGCAGCATCAGAGGAGCTAGGCAGCAGCATGCAGCTGTGAGAAAAGGATGGAGATGGCTTTAAAACAGCATCTTGCTGCTGCTGGAGGACCAGGAACAGGCTGGGGCTCAAAGGACAAAGTCACCAGTACTGTTGTGTGTGTCCTGCTTTCCCCCCACCATAGACTGGGGAGAACTGGGCAGTAGCCATCCTCCGCCATGGAAGGCCAGGGTGGGTTTGTTTCCTCCAGCAACTCAACAAGTATCAGGCTTCTTCCAGACCCTTAGCAGAGCTTGGAGGAAGAGAAGCAAGGCAGAGGCTGAAGGCACTGCGGGTGCCACAGCAGCACTGTGGTGGCAAACATCCAGTTTTCCCAGCAGGATGCCTGTGGAGAAGCAGATGCACCAGACCCCTTGTGTGTAAAATCCTCTTCCTTCCTTGTGCAGGGAGCTCGGAAGTGAGCAGGTACTGGAGGGGTGAAGGGTGACTGTGGTGGATGAAATGATTAAGGACAGCACAGGAGCTGTGGTGGGTGAGGGAAGGGACCTGAATTGAGCAGAGGGAGAAGAAGGAAATGGGGTGGGAAGCATGGTGTACAGCATGGCACCTTCTGCGTCAACTGCCTTCAAACCTGTCACATCTGTGGCAACATCCCTGGTTTTCCCTCTCAAAGGGATGTGTAACTGCCAGCAAATATGTAATATGTATGCTGCACAAGTATGAGACTGGACTTAGGCAGGACAGTACCTCAAAGGGGTGTTAATGTAACTATGGGCACTGCTGGCCAGACCCTGGGCAGCAAGCTGACCTGGGAGGGAAGTGAAGAAGCACAGCAAGAAAGAGTGAGTGGACACACTGCCTCTGGGGTAGAAGAGCTCTATGGGAGAGCCACAGCACTCAGGTGAGGAGCTTTTCCTCTGTTTCCAAACAGCATAAAGAAATCTGGAAACTGCCTGCTCTGACCTTGCTGCTGTTGGTCACAGCTCTCAAACACAATGATCTAAGGCACAGCACTTTGTTCTTTTCTTTGTTCAAAACTTGTGTTCTTTCAGGCTCATCTGTCACTGCATCTCTTGAAAGCAGTAATGTCATCACCCTAAGCACAGAACTGCTTTGAAAGACCCTTGGAGTGGATGCAAGGGTTCACTTGGTCAAAAAAAAGGAAGTTTTCTGAATCAGTTGTTTCCCATGTTAGGATGAATTTAGCTTCCAGTTCCCAGCTCCTGTTAGGAAATAATGTGCTGTGATCTTCCAGGTAAAGTGCCCAGAGAATACCCTGGAGTAAGAACAGAAACCGAAAGAGATGACAACCTACTGCACGGATGTCTGCCCACCAGAAACCAGGTACCTGATGCTCCTCTGCCTCCCTCCAGCCACAGCAGGACCCTGAGCAGCAGTTCACAGAGAGCAAGAGAGAATGAATCCCAAGTGCTATTACCTGTAGGTTTAGGGCCGCAGAATCAGCAGCGGGTGTCAGCAGAGGCAGGACACGTGGGGGCTGTGCAGCCACGCGTCCCAGCCAGGAGGAGCGGGGCCAGCGCGTGGGGCTGCAGGATGGGCACAGGCTACATGTGCAGGGCTGGTGCTCAGCACCAACAGCTCGTTGGTACTTAAGGGTTTCTCTGGCACCTCCTCCTCCTGCACAGGAGATTTTATTCCGGTTTGGTCTTGAATGTCAATCTGCTGGCTAAATAAATGGTGGCAGAACTTTCCACTGAGGTCAGGCATCTCATCACTCAGCACTTCCTAAACTGGTGTGTTTGGTGGCTAGCAGTGGTGCTCAGCAGCTGTGCTGAAACCTAAGCTAAGCAAGCTGGAAGATGTGATATCTGGTATTAGACCATCCCGTGCAGGGCCCTCCAGCTGAGTGCTGGTTGGGTTGTGCTTGCGCGGCGCTGGGCAGGGAGGTGGGCGCACCAAGCACCTTGGCACAGAGTGTAGACTCTCTCTAGGCTGAACAAAATCTCCTCAACCCTCCTCAACCCTCTGCTGCACCAAAATGGCCTCTTGAGATGGGTTGGGTGCCCAGGGCAGGGATGGAGCTGGAGATGGCCACGATGGGGGCCAGTGGCAGGGCTGCAGCCTGCACTCCTCTTTGAGCACAGGCTTCAGACTGGCAACTGAACCAAGGCCTTGGCATCTCACATGGGTGGCAAAGAGCCTCACTTCTTGTACTCTGCATTGGCAGAAATAGAGGGGGTAAAGGAGAGCTGTAGGCCCTGAAGGGCTTGGTGGTGTGCTATTTAATTGGTACTGAAGATCAACGTGCAACACAGCTGGTGGGGAATTGTCTTGCTGCTTATTTACTCTTAGTACCTCACCAGCTGAAACACTTAATTGCAGTGATGTTAATGGTGGCTGGCTGCTCATAAAATAAGAGGATGGGTGTTCTGGCTATGTGAGCTGTTAGAGGAGAGAAGCTGCTGGCTAGAGCTCGATGGTGAGAGCATGCAGGTACTGGTGTGGTGAGTGAAGGATAGCAGGATGCAGACAGGTCCCAAGTGTCCAGGTACCCAGTGGCATCAGGCAGAAGTGCTGCAACACAGCTGGCCAGGAAGGCTGTACAGAGGAGAGGACCCGAGTGCGAGCAACCCATCAATTCCTCATCCAGTGAGTGGTCCGTCTGTCAGGTCCATGCCTCTCCAATCTAGATGTTGTGTGGGACAGTGTCAGGTACCATGCGTGTGGGACAAGTGTGGGTGGGTGACATCAGTTGCTCTTTCCTTACCCAGCCATGCTCTAACCATTGTTATCGGTGTAATCAGTGAGTAAGGTGGGAGCTACATCAAATGTCTCTGCACCACATGCTGATAAGCCCCTCAGATACCATCTGGCATTTGTGAGGTGCTGTGGTAGAGGAAGGCAGGGAAGTGTGTTTATGTGAAACACTGAAGTAGCTGTTTGGCTTGCAGCATGGAAGATGGATGGAGGGTCACTGTGGGTGTTTAAGGCCAGAAAAGATGTGTGAGGAGAGCGCCAAAGAAAAGCTGTGGGAGCTGTTTGCCTGTGGTAGATGCGACTGTGTATCCCAAAAGAGGCTGATACTGTGAGTTATTTTTGACTGACAGCCCTAGCCTATCATCCTGCCTTGTTCACAGGGTGGTGGAGGTTGGAAGGGACTTCTTGATGTTTACTCTAGCTCCTTGCTCAGACTCTTATGCCTTGTCCACTCTGGTTTTGAACCTCTTCAAGGATATCTCTACAAATTCTCTGGGCAACCTGTTTCAGTGATCACCCTGAGAGCAAACATTTTCTCCTAATGTTTAAATGGACTTTCCTGTCCTGTGTTTCATTTTGTGCCAATGCCTCTCACTGTCTCTGCTGACAATAGCTCCCATCTCCTTCCCAGGGATGGAGGTGAGACTGACTGTCCTGTAGTTGCCTGGCTCTTTCCTGCCTTTCCTGAAGATAGAGGTGACAATTGGCTACGTCAGCAGTGTTAAAGGGAAGAGCACACCATGCGTGCCAGCTCACATGCAGATCTGGCTGTAAAAGAAAAGGCGATGAGCAGCAGTAGAAAATTACTTTGGGCATGGAAAGTAAAAGGAGTCTTTCCTATGGGAGACGTCAACTCCACCTGTATGTCCAAAAAATCTGGTACAGTGTCTGGGATAGGAGCAGTTTCAAATAGGAATGCACTGTGCGCTTGCTGCAGGCCCACTGACAGAAGGGAAGCAGAAGGGCAGGGATGCGCATCTTGCAGGCAAGGCTTTGAACTCTTTCATGGCAAGTGGAGAACAAAAGCCACAGGCAAGTGGGGAAGGGAGCAAATACCTCCCTGGGGCTTTGCGGGTGTGTGTGGGGGAGTGTGTGTGATGCTTTGGGGCAGCAGTGTACTTCAGTGTCTGATGGTGTGGCACAATGGAAAAGATGCAGTGAAACCATCAAAGCACCGTGCTTTCCCTTCCAGGGCAGACGTGGTGATCAGTGTGGTTGTATCTGCAGAGTGTGAGACAACATTGAGATGAGTCACACAAGTGTCAGCTCTGCAGACACCCAGCTATCAGCCCCTGGAGCCAGCCTGCGCCTTCCTGAGAGCCTGCTGCTGCTGGACCAGGCACTATGGAGAGAGGCAGGTGAGCTGTTGCTGGGGCAGAGATGAGGTGAGAGCCTGTCGAGACCCTGTGGAGAAGCTGCTGCACACCCTGTTGCAGGGAGAGTTGTACAGCATTGGGTACTAGGGTGGGAAAAGGTGCAGAATCATGTGCTGCTATAGGGCTGGGTCAGATGTGGGGCAGGAGGATACACACAGATGTAATGCTCTCACAAGAATAGAGTTCCACACTCACAGAGTAGTGGTGGGGGCTAAGTGCGGCTCTTGCCAGGTTGAGGCAGAGCTCCTATGTGGAATATGCTGAGCAATTATGAGGGTGTTTCAAGTCCAGTTTGTGCATGGCATACATGCGCAGTGCTATAGCCCAATGTGTCTCATCTCATCCTTTCTCCTCCTCACAGCTCATCTTGCTGTGCAATTCTACTTATCACTTAAATAGAGACAAATACCTTTGTGTAAGGACACTTCTGTCTCAAGACTGTCAAGTTTGTCTCTAATACCAACATAGAATCCCAGATTGGTTTGGGTTGGAAGGGACCTTAAAGCTCATCCAGCTCCAACCCCTGCCACAGGCAGGGACACCTTCCACTAGAGCAGGTTGCTCCAAGCCTCGTCCAACCTGGCCTTGAACACCGCCAGGGATGGGGCAGCCACAGCTTCTCTTGGCACCTTGTGCCAGTGCCTCAGCACCCTCACAGGGAAGAATTTCTGCCTAATGTCTGATCTCAATCTCCCCTCTGTCAGGTTAAAGCCATTCCCCCTTTTCCTAATCCTACATGCCCTTGTCAGAAGTATCTGTGCTGGCACCTGGAGGATGCTAAACTTGGAGAGATTACATATGTTTGTGTTTTGCTAAAATATAGTACACTAAGCAGGACAAGATGATGTGGTTTTGGTTGTGGTGTGAAACCGGAAACACCTATGTGGGATGCTGCAGTATTTCATGAGACAGCCTGGGTGACCTTCAAAGGTACCACCTTTCCCACGGCGCCGGGTGCTCCAGCCCTTGGAGCATCTCCATGGTTTCCTCTGTCTCACTCGAGCAGCTCCACATCTGTCTTGAGTTGGGGCCCAAGATCTGGCTGCAGGAGTTTGTTTCCTCTTATACTGGCATAAACGCAGAGTGACACTTTAAAAGCTGGACAGATCTAGATTCTCATATAAAAATACCTGGGACCAGTAAATCAGAGCAAAACCATGTCCTCTGCTTGAACAAGGAAGAAATTACTTTGATCAACTTATGTGCTTTATTCAAAAAGATTTTTCCCTTCCGGTCAATTACATTCATTTAATTGAAAACATTTTCACAGGAAATCTCAGCTTGATTTGCTTTCCTGATTTGGGATCATTGCATTGCTTTTTTGCCTAAACAGCAATTGGTATGTTTGAAGCTGCTGTGCTTGGAGCTGGAGTAGCTGAACTGTCTGTTGCAGTTGGGGTTTGAGTAGCTGCTGTACTTGTTGTTGGGGCTGGTGTAGCTGCTGTGCTTGGAGCTCAAGTAGTTGCACTGTCTGTTGCTTTGCCATCAGATCCAGGGATCTTTTTTCTTCATTTTGAAGGTGCTGGACGGTGTTGAACAGGGCTCTGTAAGCATGGGCCAAGCCCCAGCACGTTGCCATGATTTGTCCATCTCTGGTATGACAGGAATGACAACACACCTCATTTAAGTGTTTTACTAACTTGTCTGGATTTTGCACTTGTTCAGTGGTGAAGTTCCAAAGCACTGGAGGGGCTCACTGGCCTAGATACTTGCTCATAGTATCCCACACACCCTGCCACTCATGACTGTCCAGCCTCCGGGATAATCTCTTGGTCCTCTTATATTGTTGTCTAACCCTAGACAAGACCCAAACCTGACTCTGCTTAACCCTTGGGACCAAACAAAATGGTTGTGGGTAAAACACTCTGTATGCATGCCAACATGATGATCCCCATCACAATCAGCAGGCAGGTCTCAAGGGTACCTAAAAACCATGCAAAACCTTCAGCACTCTCAAATGATGCTGTAAAGGGTCTGGTGGGCGAGCAAGCTGGGAAGGCAAGGGAATGTCTCCTTCACAGGTTGACCACCAGAGGAGGGGAAAAAAGATGTGTAATTGCTAAACACTTCTGTTGTATACCCCCCAAAGTATAGAGGTGGTGACCGTGCCAGATCAATTTCATGAT